CCACTGACCCTCCACCTTTCTAAACATGATGTTCTTTTCTGCCCCCTCCTAATGACGTGTCGAGTATGTGAGATGAAGTGTCCTTGACTCTTAAGAAGCACCCTGGACGCACTTTCTTTAAGACATTCTTGTTTGTTCTCTTTGTAGTACATGCATTATTCAGGACTTTTCACCAACACCACAACTCAAAGGTATCAATTCTTTTTCTGTTGTCCTTATTTGTTCTCCAACTTTCAAATGCTGTAAGAAGAGGGCCATGTGGAGACATGTCTGATCTTTACCAACTTCATAAAGGGGAACTGTCCCCGTCACAGCATTAGTAACACCAAATTCCCATGAGGTCAGACATATCTTACATGCTCCTCTACCTCTTTGTACTCATCTCAACAGCAATATTAATGCTTTTCTGGGTACAAAATCCAATGCTCACAGAACCATACGGGGGACATCAAAAGGTTATAATACAGGTTAATAACAGAATACCGTCAAAACAACTTCAGAAATGTACATGCAGACACCTTGGCTTCTAAGTTCATGGCTTTGACCAGTGTCCCCAGTTCTAAGTCCTGCCAATTGGGTTCTCACCTCTACTTGTCCAGCAGAGTTCTTAGTTCTGTCATATTGGCTCTCTTCCCCCAGCTTTACCACCACCCCCGCCCCTCCCAAGGTCCTATTTCACGTCAAATCTCCAGTTTAGTCATAGATGTTGCTGCCATAAGTGTAGCTGGAGCAAACAGGGTGTCCTGTGTGATCCTGCTTTTTCTTAAGTGGCACTAGAAAATCTGTCTCTCTGGCTAGGGCTGTTCAATTAATTCATTGGCGACTAGCCTATTCCCTCTTTTGACAAAGATCAAGGAATGAAGCCTTAGGTTTAAATTGCATCTCAATGTCAAAACAAAGATTCTTACCAGTGGGCCAATAGGTAACATCATGATGGTTGGAGAAGACATTGAAACTGTCAACAACTTCATCTTACTTGGATCCACAATTAATACCCTTGGTACCAACACTCGGGAAATAAGTAGATACATTGCACTGGAAAAGTCTGCAGTTAGGGACCTCTCCAAACTATTGAGAAGTAATGATGCCAGTTTGAGGACTAAGGTGCTTTCGATTCAGGCTGTGGTCTTTCTGATCACTTGCTATGCATCTGAGAACTGGACAGTGAGCAAGAATGACAAGAATAATTGATGCCTTTGAGCTGTGGTATTGGAGAGGAATACTGAACATCCCATGAACAGTCAAAAGAAAAATAAATATGTCATAGAGAAGGAACAGCCAACGTGCTCTTTTGAGACAAGGATAATGAGGCATTGCCTCATATACTTTAGACATGTTGCTAGGAGAAAAGGAACATGATGCTTGGGAGGATAGAGGGTCAATGAAGGAGAAGACCATTGACCAGTGGATTGACCTAGTGACTTCTGCAGTGGGCTTTAGTGTGTCAGGAAATGTGAGATTGCACTGGATAGGACAGGACAGGGTTCAGATCTGTTCACAGGTCACATTGCTTCTACTCAACTTGATGGCACCTAACAACAACACAATAGCCAATCCCCTTGTAGATTGTTGAGCCTGAACTGTCCCCCTGTGGAATGGTAGATAGTCCCTTTGTAGACAGGCTAACACTGCCTATATGCATATCCCTGCCCATTTACATAGCAAAGTCAAATAATGGCTAGGAAAAGTCATATTGAAAGATAAGCTCCACAGATGCATAGCAAGTAATTGAAAAGACTGTGTCTTGAACAGGCATATTGTAGTCTTTGAGCCAACATCATTGCTTCTCAGAACTTTAAGGAGGTCCTTGATAGCCGATTTTCCCAGTGCAACACATCAAATTTTTGTGTAATATTGTTTGCCATTTTCATTGAGACATTTTAGTATCTGATTAAAATGTCTCTTTCCTGGGTTTTTCCTTTAAAGTACTTTATACTTGTTGTTGTTATGTTCTGTCGAGTCGCTTGCGACTCATAGCGACCCTATGTACAACAGCCCTAAACTCTGCTCTGTCCTGTGCCAATCACACTGTCTCTGATACACCAATCCTGATTACCCCAGTCACTGAATCAATCTACCTCATAGAGGGCCTTCTCCTCCTGGGCTGTCCCTCCACCCTACCAAGCATGATGTCCCTTTCCAAGGACTGGTCCCTCATTACAGCATGTCCAAAATATGTTAGACGGAGCCTCAGAATCCTTGCCTCCAAGGAGCAGCCAGGTTTAACTCTTTTCAGGACAAATCTGTTTGTTTTCCTAGCAGTCCATGGTACTCTCAATACGCTTCACCACCACCACAGATCAAGGCATCAATTCTCCTTCTGTCCTCCTTAGTCGCTGTTCAACTCTTTGATGCATAACAAGTGATAGCAAAGACCAAGGCCTGTATCATACGCACCTTAGTCTCCAGAGAGACACCATTGCTCTTCAGTACTTTGGAGAGGTCCCTAAGAGTAGACTTTCCCATCGCAATACGTCTTTTAATTTCCTGGCTACTGGTGCTGAGATTGTTGACTGTGGAGCCAAGCAAACTAAAGCTGTGAACAATCTCAGTCTCTTAACCATCCATCCTGATGGCTGCCATTTGGTCCATTGGTGAGAATCTTTGTCGTCTTGACATTGAGCCTCAATCCATATTGGAGGCTGCAGTCCTTGACCTTCTGCGGCAAGCACTTCAGGTCCTCCTCAGTTTCAGCAAGCAGGGTTGTGTCAGGGTTGTTGTTGAATCTTCCACCAATCCTGACACCACACTTCTCCTCATAGAGCTCAGCCTCCCCGATAATCTGTTCTGCATACAGGTTGAAAAGGTATGGAGACAGGACACATCCCTGGCGTACGCCCTTTCCACTTTTGAACCATGCAGTGTTTTCCAGCTCTGTTCTGACGACTGCCTCTTCGTCCAAGAATAGGTTTCTCATTAGTACGATCAAGTATTCTGGGATTCCCATTCTTCTCAGAGTCAGCCACAGTTTGTTATGATCCACACAGTAAAACGCCTTTGCATAATCAATGAAACACAGATATACATTCCTCTGATATTCCCTGCTTTCAGCCAATATCCATTTAACATTAGCTACAATATTCCTAGTACCATGACCCCTTTTAAACCCAGCCTGGACTTCTGGCAGTTCTCTGCTGATGTGCTGTTTCAGTCGTTTTGACTAATCTTCAGTAGAATCTTGCTTGCATGTGAAATCAATGATATTCTATAGTTTCACACCCTGTTGGGTCACTGTTCTTTGGAATGGGAACAGATATAGATCTCTTCCAGTCAGTTGGCCAAGTGGTTGTTCTCCAGATTTCTTGGCACAACTTGGAGAGCACATCCAGGGCAGCATCTGTTAGCTGAAATATGTCAGTTTGTATACCATCTATTCCTGCGGCCTTATTTTTTGCTATTTCCTTCAAAGCAGCTTGAACTTCTTCCTTCCTTCACCATAGGCTCTTGCTCAAATGTTATTTCATTAAATTCTTCCGTATCTGCCAATTCCTTTCTATACAATGACTCAGTATATTCCCTCCATCTTCTTTTAATACTTCCTGGATCATTTAATATTCTGCCTAAAGCATTTTTGATTATAGCAACTTGAGGTTTGAATTTGTTCTTCAGTTCTTTGAGCTTAAGAAATGCTGAGCGAATTCGGCCCTTTTGATTTTCTGACTCCAACTTCTTGAACATTTCATTGTAATATTTTACTTTGTCATCCCGTAAAGAAAATATAAAATATATGTAAGGTTTTAATAATATGGTATTAATAATAATTACATACATGAACAGTGTTGTACACATTGCAGCTTATAAAATTTTCAATACTTTTGAAGTGTCTATGTACACCTTTGTGATTTTACCTTTCTCCTTCTTTGTTCTGTGCAGAGGTCACCACCATCTTGGATTTCATGTTCAACATTCCTATTTTTTACTTTATCATATATTAGTTTGTGGTAACATTTTCCAGAATTTCTCACACCATTCAAAGATTCCACTCCCTTTGTTATTTTACTATAAGAACATGTGGCTTAGCATATTGTTGACTTAAAACTAAAGTTTTTATACCCACCAATCATGGTGCATTGCCAGATCAGTAAATGAAAAAGACACATCCAGCAATGCCTGGAGAAATCCCTGAATAGCCTTTCTATTCTCTTCACCAGAAGGGCCACATGGTACATGCACTTATTGCTTCTACAAGTCTAATGCAGTAGTATTTTTCCCCAGGGAAATTAATTTGTGATTCAACCTATTTTAATTTTGACCTGTTTACTTAATCATCCTTTGCCTACAAACATTCCTGACTTCCTGAAGGAAAGGAGGTGTTCTCTATAAATCTCACTGTTAATCCAGTCTAGGTTGGCTGATGTAGTAGAAGTAAATTTATTGTTTGATAAATGGTATTTTCAGAAATCCAAACTCTAGATTACAATCAGTGGCTCTCCCTGTAAACATGTCCTTTGATCAGACCCACAGTGGTAACTCTTTTCTGTATAATGTGAATCCTCAAGTATTATACAATTTTACATATCTTCACATCTGTTTTGCATTTGATATAAATTAGAGAATTCATTACTTTTTGCGGGATACTTTTTTACATGCTTCTTGTTGCTAGTTTATACATTTTCACTGTTGTCTACGTGGTATTCTCTTATTTGACTATATCATATTTCACTGAAATTTTTCTTGGTAATAGACTCTTGCTGTTCTGAGCTGCATTTGTTGTTGTTGTTGTGGTTGTGGTTGTGGTTGTGGTTGTTATTGCCATTTTATCTTTACTACCAGGAAACCAAACCTACTACCTTCAAGTAGATCCCACCTCAGTGATCCTACTAGCTTTACTAGTTAGTACCAAATTATTTTCCCAAAATAGTGATTAGTTGATAGCTATACCAGATATGTTGTTGTATTTAAATCTTCTTTATTTCCATTTTAAGAACAAATATATTTGATCATACTTGATAATTTTTTTGAAATAGCCTAATATTGTATTTTTCTTATGCTAATGTCAGAAATCACATCTAGATTCATTTCAAGTATCTTCAGAAGATGAAGATTGCTGTATGCAGTTTGCTGTGTCAGAAGAAGATGTAATAAGATCAGGTTAGTAGTACACTCATGGATGGTTATTTGCCTATTGTTGTTAATAGGTTCCATTGAGTCGAGGGTTATTGATTGTGAATCCTTCCAAGATGAAATTGTTGATAGTCTCAATTTTTTTCTCCATCCATCACTGAGATGGAGAATCCTTACCCTTTGATTGAGATGGAGAATCCTTACCCTTTTTGGCCCAGTGGTGTGATGATTGTCTTCTTGATGTTGAGATTTAATTTATCTACATAAAGCATGTTGATGTGTATTTTTCCAATCCTGATGCCATATTCTTTGTCATATAGTCCAAGTTCTTGAATGGTTTGTTCAGCATACAAATTGAGTAAATATGGAGAAAGGATACAAGCCTAATACAAACCTTTCTTAATTTTAAACCATGCAATGTTAGAACAAACAGTTTTGTCCTAGATAGGGTGAATTCTGCCTGCTCCTCAGAGGCAAGGATTCTGAGGCTTTGTCTAATATACTATGGGCATGTTACAAGGAGGGACTGGTCCTTGGAGAGGGACATCATGCTTGGAAGGGTAAAGAGATGGAGAAAGAGAGAGAGACCATCAGTAAGATGGATTGTTAAAATGACTGGGATATTGAGGGTAGGTATGTCAGAGAAAATAAAGTTGACACAAGATAGTGCAGGAGTAGGGTTGTGACTTGACCTTGACAGCACATAACAACAATGTTCCCTTGCTCTGTTTGGATAACAGTGTCTTGGTCTAGGTGGAGATTTTGCACAAGCACCATTAAGTACTCTCAGATTCCTTATTTTCTTTGTGTTAGCTGTACTTTGTTATCATCCACACAGTCACGTGCCTTTGAGACCTTTACAACTATTATTCAAAATCCCATTGCTGTTAAGTCAGTTCCAACTCAACAATGCGATACTGCCCATCTTTTTCTTGCAAAGTGGTGTATTTTGCCCATCAACTTTTTGATTAGCAGCACAAAATGTAACTGACTGTGCCATCCTGGCACCTTAATATGCTCACTGTTGTTAGGAGCTGTTGAGTCAACTACAACCTAGAGCGACCCTGTGAAGAAAAGTCCTGAACTTTACCCTGTAAACTGTGAACTATGCCATCCTTATAATTTCTGATAAACATCAGCCCATTGTTTCTGTACCTTGTTGAGAGTCTTCTTCTCTTTTGTGGACCCTCTACCTTTCCAATTATGGTGTCTTTTTGCAAGGAATAGAAAGTTTCTACTCCTAACAATATGTCCAAAGCATATGAGGCAGAGTTTCACCATCCTGGCCTTTGTGGATCACTCTGCTTGCACTTTCACCAAGAAATATTTATTTGGTTTTTTTTTTTGTAAAAAAAAAATTGTATTTAGAATTAGCCAGCTGGACTAAATTTAAATGATCCTAATTTTGTTGACAACATCCAATGCGTCATAGTCAAGAGCAAGTCATACATAGACTTTCTCTCCCATCAGGCATAATCAAAGTCTTGACATTAGCCACATCAGTGTCATAGAGTTTTTTTACAGCTTGTTTGATTTGGTGTTTGTTGATCTTGACATCCACAATGAACACAAGTGTGCTGTTATCTTCTGTCTTGAGATAATTCAGTACTTTTCTGTAGCACCACAATTTATTAGTATTGATTATTCTGTCATTCTGATTTATTGTCTAACTTTCAGATGCATATCAGGAAATTGAAAAGGCCATGGTTTGAATAAGGCATACCTTACTCTTAAAACTGATATCACTCTTCTTGACAATTTAGGAGAGGTCTTTGACAGCTGACTTTCCCATTGCTGTATAACTGCTGATCTGAAGGGTGTTGATATGGATCCAAGTAAGAAGATGGAAAAAGAGCAAGGACTGTGTGGGGATGGGTGGGGGGACAGAGCAGAAGAGGAACATCCAGATGAGATGGATTGACTTGGTAACTAGAGCGATAAGATTAGGTGTATTGGTCTGTGAGACTGGCTCAGGTTAGGGCAGGATTCAGAGCTATTTTACATAGGGTCACTATGAGTCATGGGCAACTGACAGCACAGCAACAACAAACAACAGATATGGCCATATCTTAACAGCAACAGCAACAACAACAGACATTTGACCATATCTTTACCAGTTTCACAAAGGGAAACGCTCCCTGTCAACAGCATCAGTAGCATAAAACCTGTTCCCATGAGGTCAAAACATGTCTCCCACACTCTAGTACCTCTTTCTGTTCATCTCAACACCAATCTTAGTGCTTTGTTGTTGTTGTTGTTGTTATGTTATTGCTCCATTTACTGAGTGAATCCATCTTATTGGGATGTCCCTATCCAAGGACTGGTGTGCTCAGAGTATGGGAGACAGAGCTTCAAAATCCTTACCTCCAAGAAGAAACTTGGTTTCACCTTCTCCAAAACTGACCAGTTTGTTCTCCTGGTGGTCCCTGGTGTGTTCAGCACTCTTGACTAGCATCACAACTCAAAGGTATAAATTCTTCTGTCATCCTTAGTTGTTCTGCAGCTCTCTGATACATAGCAAATAATTGCAAAGGTGAGTCCAGAATCTGTGATAGCTCACAGATGGCACAGAACCATATTAGATAATTCAAAAGGCTCATCACTCATAGTAAGGAAATCCAAAGACTATTTGCATTGTGAAAATCTACTGTCAAGGATCTCTCCAGAGTGCTAAAGAGCAACAATATAAATCTGGAGACTAAGATACTCCTGATCTTCGCAATTACTTGCTATGCACCAGAGAGCTGTACAGTGACTAAGGATGAAAGAAGAAGGATCAATGCCTTTGAGTTCTGGTGCTAGAGAAAAGTATGGGACATTTCATGGACTGCTAAGAGCACAAACAGGTTTGTCCTGAAGAGGATAAAACCAAGTTTCTCCTTAGAAGCAAGGATTTTGAAGCTCTATTTCACATACTTTAGATATGTTGCCAAGAGGGACAAGTCCTTGGAGAAGGACATCATGTTTGGAAGGGTAGAAGGACAACACAAGAGGGAGAGACCTTGGCTGAGATGGATTGACACAGTGACTAGGATAATGAGTTTAGGTATGTCGGAGATTGTAAGACTTCTTCAGAATAGAGGAGGGTTCAGAACTATTGTTCATAGGGTCACTATGAGTTTCAGGCAACCGATGGCACATAACAACAACAATAACAACAATAGCCAAATGCAGTCCAGACAGCTTCCAAAATGTGCTTGTAGGCATCTCAGCCTTGAGCCTCACTGCTTAGGTTTATGTAACAAAGTTCGCAATCCTGCCAGTATTGGCTCTCCTGCACCACCTCCAAACTGGGCAAAGGCCCTTAGCTTAGCTCTGATTCTGTGCATAGAGAGCAGTAGTCCCAAGTTCTGTTTTGTCTCATGTCAGGTCTTTGATTCTCTACTGTGGTTACAATAGCTATTGCTCTGCTTCTAAAGGACAGTTTGCATTCTCTTGCTGCTGCTTCTTTGCTGGCAGGGGAAGATGATTCTTCTTCTTCTGCTGGATCACTCAATTTAATGGCAAGATTAGCCAGTCTCTTTGTGGATAGGCTAACATGTTCTATTCACGTATTCCTATGGTGAAGTCAAGTTCAGTGGCTAGGAAAGCCATTTTGAATAATAAACTCCACACAGCACAATTCCTTACCACTAAACCAAAAAGAAAGCTGCTTTACCCTTTTAAATAAATAGTAAAAATGCCTTTATGGGATTATGTGTTTGTGTGAGGTTTAATATTACCCAAATGGATATTATTATTAAGTGCTGTGAACTTTTGTTAAATAATACAGTGTTATGTATCCAAAAACAACAGTTTCATTGAGATTACTTTAAACTGTGTGCTCACATAGTGGTAGTTATAAGGGTAGTGTGGAATTGTGCAGGGTTTAGTTCTGTTTTACCTAGGATTGCTTTGAGTGTCACAGTGTCTAACAATAAGTGCCACTCAGTGGATTCTTAATTCATACTAGCCCCGGCCACTGGATGCTTAAACAGTCGTACTGCTGCTCCTGTGTTGGTTTTGCTGACACGTATCCCAGTTTGGAGAGTGTGCTCTTAAATGATTTGAGAGACTGTGTGTCCACAGTTAAGGTAATTGGAGACCACAGGGGGCTAAGATGATGGCTAAAAAAGCCAAGTTTTAAGCTAACACTGCAAAAGGCTATAAGTTTTTATTAGAGACCACCCTTCGTTCTAGAGTGACTAACACTTTAACTGTCAAGCTTTCAGTTAACGGTCCAGTATGTTATAGACATACTGTCATCAGGAAGGAGCTCTTGTGGCATACTGGTAAGAAGCTGTGCTGCAATCCCAAAGGCACATGTTTCAGATCCACCAGCTGTTCCAAAGGAGAAGGGTGGGTAGTCTCTTCCTGTGTAATTTTTTCCCTCTGAAAACCTGCTGCAGAGTCAGCTATGGGTCGGTTCTGATTTGATGGAACACAACAACATATCCAAAACCCCTTGAAAATACTTATATCACCATAAAAAATGTTTATCTATGTTTTGACTATTTAGTGTTCAATCTAAACTCTTGGCAGCTTCTGATATTCATACTGTTTTTATAGTCTTAGAAATCAAAAGATGTATTGCATTGGGAAAACCTGAAGTCAAGGACCTCTCCAAATGCTAAACAGCAGTGATGTCAGTTTAAAGACTAAAATACTCCTAATTCAAGTCATGGTCTTTGCAGTAACTTGCTATGAATCTGAAAGTTGGAGAATGAATAAGTATTATCCAAGAATTGATGCCTTTGAGTTATGGTTTTAAAGAAGAGTTGAATATGCCATGGACTTCTGAAGGAACAAACAAATATGTGTTGGAGAAAGTACAACTAGAATGTTCCCTAGATGCAAAGAGGTAAAACGTTCTCTCATATAGTTAAGACAAATTGTTAGTCAAGTCCTTGGAAAAGGACGTCATGATTTGAAAGGTGGTGGTTCAGTGAAAGAGGAAAACCCTCAACAGAATGGATTGACACAGTGACTGACTGTATCAGTGATTGTGATTATCAGAGATGAAGAGGCTGGTATAGGATAGAACAAGT